ATTATATTAGTTTACATATGAACTTTGCATATGAACCCAAAATGCAAATTTGGAAATATGTATTGAAACATCAGGCTTTGTTCTGTGTTAACTAAAGGTACTAGCTCTTACTCCTTCAATCATAAGCAGCTGTAACAACAATCAGTTGCACTGGTACAATGTATTTGATGTTGTAAACTACACCCAACAGATTTCGCTACAGTCAGGGGCAGTCATTGAGCAGTGCAAGATTATACAATGTAACTGAAAACAGGGGAAGAGGTACATTTGAGAAAGTTTATGACAAGTGAGAGAAATGTAACAATACAGTGGGCTTTTGAGAAGGTGTTTCAGACTCCAGGTGAAAAAGTTAATTGAAGGAGGAGTGATATGTACGTGGAGCTGCAGGCTTATTGAGGATTGTTTGATGCAAGAAATTGCATTTCTGCTTTTATTTTGAGGGTATTTATCACTATTATTTATTTCATATAATATGCTATCACTGCTGTTCCTCTGTTATATGTCTAAGAACATAAGAAGTAGAATAGGTCATTTGGCTATTTGGGCCAATGTCATTGGTAGATGTGTATTTCTAGGGTTGTGTTCCTCAGGGGATGGATGAGGACAGCACAATCTGGTCTAACTAGAAGAGTGTCTTGTTTTAAACAAGTTAAGTTCATTCAGTTCTGATGAAGAGCAACCCAACTCAAAACGTTAACTCTGCTTTCTCACACAGGTGCTGCCAGACCTAGAGAGTTTCACCAGCAATTTCTGTTTTTCTTTCAGATCTCCAGCATCCATAGTTCTTTGTTTTGTTTGTTTATTGCACCTCTACAACTATTTACCTGTTACAAGGTTATGGAATACATTATTATGGAGACTGTTAGGAGGACCTGGTCTTAGATAAGACTCCTTCAAGATCCTTAATTATTCTCCCATTGGTCTTCATAATATCATTATTGCTCTCAATCACTAGTAAATGTTTCAGAGCCTTTTAGACACATATACAATAACTCTCCACAGGCTATTTATTGATAAACAAATGTTTAACAGTAATAATTATAAAAATTACATTTCTTACTATCCCAACTCAGCCCAACTATTTGACTTTACAAATTCAGACTATCTTAAGTTTTACTAGTTTCCTTGAAACTGTTCTCATTGAAATTGGAAGCAGGAGATTTGCTGAGTAGAAAACAGTCGACTTTGCCTGTCAACCGGTTGGTCTGAAGCTTGCAGTTCCTTCTGAATGGAGGATCTTTAATCTTTATTTCTTTTGTTGAAGATGTTATCACTGTCATCAGAGCAAGCAATATTTTCTTTGCAGCAGCATGAATCCTTGCCCATGCGCTGCTGAGCTCTTCTTAGTGGTGGCTTCCATGGAATGTATGCACCACATCTCCAATGAGCATCAGCAGATTTTGTTCTCAATCTGCTTATAGATCTGTGATGATGTAGGTAGAGGTATTATTTCATTTACTGATTTATTAATACACTCAGTAGTGTATACTGGCTGTGGTCATTGCCTGTTTCTTTGTTGTGTATCCTCACAAGTCTTGCTAGTTCTTTGAGTTTGAAATATTAACAATGTTGATAGCAATGGAAACCATTTCCATCAAACCAGCATAGTCACAGGCTCTCACCTTGTTGACAGGATGAAACAAATTCTTATTCCAACACAATTAACCTCAAGGATTCTGTTTTTTGTTTTGTTTAGGATTTTGCATCTTTAATAAAGGTGCTCCCTCTCTCAGGGCCTTCATGAATTTTCTGAAAGATGTTTGTGTTGGACTGGAACTGCTCACAATTTATTATTGCCCAATGCTTGTATGCTTTAAAATACTGGCTTTGTGATGTTCCTGATTTTCTGATGCCAGATTATGCATTTCTGTTTTGGCCCTGTTATTTCTGTTTTCTTTTCCAGCCATGCCTCATGGTGTTGTTGAAAAAATGTTTTTAAAAAATTCTCATCCATTCAGCCTAGGTTACTGTGCTATTTAAAATCTTCCGTTTGTGCCAGGCATTTCTAGTTTTGATTCACACGATCTGATATCAGTTCACTTATTGATCGAACTCTGACTCGGAACCACTGGTACAGACCACCACCCTGGGATGCAGCCTATACCTCTGCCTCGGTGGTGCAAATTTCTTCTGTTCCAAGATGTCTTTTAATAAGTCTGACGGGCTTTTTATCATTCTTTGAAATAGTGATATAAAGTTTCTTTTCTAGAGTTCATCAGCTCATTACTGATGATTGTGACTCACTGTGCTATAGAGTAGGCAAATCAATCTTTGGGTCCCATTTAGAAGATCCCTGCTGCTCACCATATTGTACATTGAAGCTAAAGCATATCTTCAGATTGTCACCATGCTCACCATGTTGTATGTACTGCCACCAATACCTTTTAGGAATATGTTCCTGAAGGTCCCATGTGCTCTAGCATTCATGAGTATAGCCACCTCTAGTCCAGCTAGTAGAGTTCCTTATGCAATATAGTATTCCAATATTATCCAACATATATACCCATCTGGTTCACTAATGTCCTTTAGGGAAGGAAATCTGCTGTTCTTGCCTGGTCTGGTCTACATGTGACTCCAGATCCACAGCAAAGTGGACGACTCTTAACTGCCCTCTGGACAATATGGTACAGGCAATAAATGCCCAGCCGGTGACACCCTCATCCTGTGAATGAATTAAAACAAAAATAGTTTATTGCATCTCTGCAACTACCTATTACAAGGACGTGTTAGGAGGACCTGGTCTTAGGTCTGAATGCTTCAAGATCCTTAGCTATTCTCCCAGCAAGTCCTCATGATGCGATCGCAGTTGGTGATGCTTAATGCAATCAATCGACTCTTTCAGACTCATACAAAACAATCATCACAGTTTAAGTTGAACATGAAGTTAAATTTTTATGGCTGACAAGACTCCAAGAGACTGGTCCAAGTGACCCGTGAAGATGTAATCCTAAACACTAATTCTGTTTGATAAATTGCACATTGACCAACTTTTGAATAGATGGAGTATCATCCTGTAACTGAAATATCATCTGATCATGAGATAGTAGGAACTGCAGATGCTGGAGAATCTGAGATAACAAG